AAAAAAAAAAAAAAAATAAAAAAAAAAAAAAATTAGAAAAAAAAATTATTATAAAACAGAAAAAAAGAAACAGAAAAGAGAAAAACAAAAAAACAAAAACAAAAAAAAAATAAACAATTTAAAGTTTCTTAAAAGAAATTTTTAAATGTTTGAAAAGAAGTAGAAAAAAGTTTTTTTATAATATTAATATTTTTTTTATTTTATTTTTTTAATTATTTTAATTATTTAATTTACTTTTATTATAATATTTGATATAATATTATATAATATTTTATTTTTATTTTTTAATAACAATATAAACAAAATATAAAATTTTTCAAAAAGTCTTTAGATAAATATTTTTATAATAAACAAATATTTATTTATTTATTTAACATAAAATTTTAAAATATATTTTTTAAAATATAAAAAATAAAATAATATGTTTTTTTAATACTTTATTGATAAATTTATCTTAAAATTTGATTTGAAAATTAAAAAATTTTTGATTAAAATTTTTTTATAAATTTATATATAAATTATAATCAAAAAAATTATTTACAAATTAAAAATATATATTTGATTAATAAAAAAGAATAATAAAGTTTTTATAATATATAAATTATTTTATAACAATTATTTTATTTTTTATTTTTTATTCATAATTAACTAAGCAACTTAAAATTTAATTAAAAGTTATTTTTTAATTATTTTTATTTTTATTTTACAAATTGATGAATTAAAATTATTAAAAAAATTTTTTAAAATATTTGAAAATATTAAATTAGATAGACTTGCTTAAATATTAATAAAAGAGTTAACAAATTTTTTTTAATAATATTTAAAAAATATAACAGAAATTTAAAGTTTTTTATTTTATTGTTATTATTAAAAATAATTACTGTTTTTAATTTATATTAATAATCACAATATTTAATAACATATAAAGGCTTGACTTTTAAAGAACAAAAAAAATCTTTTAGAATTTTTGAAAATATCTTTGTTTATGTTTAAAAATTTATTTTTATAAGTAAAAATGATTTAAACTCGTTACAGAATAAAATATGCCTCTACAGCATAATAATAACAATAAATCTAACCAAAAGAATTTATAATAACTTTATTTTTAAAAAACAGGTATATACAGTAAATAAACCTGGTGATTAATAAAAATACTGTATTTAGTATGCTTGAATTTTTTAAAGTACAGTATATACTCTATGCACTTTATAAATAAAAGCATTTAGTTACTAAATTGGTCATTGTTATTAATGAGATTTGTTGAATCTAATGTATTTTGAGTTACTTAAACATAATAAAAATTTTTTATTATTTAATTAGATTACAAGTAAAATTTATATAAATTTACACAGATATAATGCAATTCGAAATTAAAAAAATATTCGAAGTAAATGCGTTATATTGTGCTTAAGACACACTAGCCCTCGTTATTGGATAAAATCTTATATACAGATGATGAATGACCTTCTCTATTTTGTTTTGAAATTTTTTATCGAACGACTTGGTAACTTCGTTTGTATGCAAGTTATCATCCAGCGATCTTGCAATTTTATTTCTACATATTGCATTAGATTAAACCAATCGTGCAATATTCGCGTGTTGGTTCTGTAATGATTAAAACAATTTTTTACATGTAATACATTTCACCACGTCTTCTACGTGTCAGTTTTGTCAACAGTACAAGAGAAACGAGAAATGTCCATGTAACAAACCAACTTATTATCATGCTGGCCAAGTAAATCCTACATGGCATATTTTCCAGTAATGAAGGCCAATTACATTGATTGAGTTTTGGAAGGAATGAAAAAATTGAGTTTACCGTACCTTGAGATTTTTGTGTAAAAAAAAAGTCAGTAGTCGATTCATGGGGGTTGAAACTTGCGAGATTCCTACGAGATTATACTTACATGCTATTGACCATATTATGAGAAATGAACTATTTAGGTGGTGTTTAGGAGACAGTAAATTTCCAAGGTTACGAAAAGAATGATGATGTCCTTTAATGCACTAACAAAAAATCGCGCTTACCATTCTACAATCGTATCTTGCTGAAACGATCCGTACCTCCATCGATAGTCAAAATAAAACAAGTAATATGCTAATGAAATCAGAAAAAGAAAATATCGGTTGATAACGGAGTTTTAAAAATTTTCCATCTTTGCCACATCAATATGAATGCTACTAAGATAACCCATATTTACGATAAGTTGAATACCTTTTTTTATGAAAGTAACTGATATTACAAAGAAATAGAATGCTTGGGATGATAATGATCTAGAAATTTCATTAAAGTTAAAACTTTTTGTTCAAGAGACTTCGAAAATGAATAAGTGATATTTACCGTGTACGAGCGTCAAAGGTTTGACGAAAATTATCGTTTAGCAAAGTCTGAGGCACCGCTATAATTTGTTCCAGAATAAATAAATAAGGTTGCACGAAAAACTTTCAAAGACACAACTTTGAAATGATTACAACATACCAAGTCCGACAAGGTATGTTATTAAAAAAAATTGGAAAAAGGTCCAGTTACGAAGGAAAAATTTCTTGTCCATTGCTGATAATTATCTGTTCTAATAGTTTTGACGGCTTATATATATGTGAGTATTGCGCTTGCGAATGAAGATTGAATAATCGTGATGTTTCGTTGTTCGTGTTTGATTGATCTTACAAATGCATATGTGTGGTGTGTTTGATTAGTTCCAGTATTTATGTTCAACCAATTGCTTTAATATTATTGGAGGAAAAGAATTCGGACGAAAAAAGAATTTTATAGAATTACATCGTTCCACAGTTCCACAATAGGTCTGCACTCATCAAGTACCGTCGTGATATGTACTGTGTGTTCGCACTTGCCTACCAGTGGCGTATGTTTGTCCTACAGTCACGACTTTTTGGAAGATTCTTTAATGAATTGTTTGACACAAAATTCGGTTGTACAAACTGTTTTCGATTGAAGTCTAATCGAATAAAGAAAAGAAATTTTTTTTTTTATTTCTTAATTATAAAAATCTTACACTTTATCTATCGCATCCCTTATTCCTTTCAACATCTTATAATTTAATTATTGATAATTAATAGTTGATTTTAAAGCAATTCCTTATAGTATACTTATAACTAAATCTGTAATCTTGGAATGATGAAAAAATCTTAGGTTTCAAGTTTGACGCGTCCTTATAATTAGATTCATATACATATTTAATATTTGGAGCGCTAGTTCACGTGAATCATAATTCACGAATTATTCGGATTATCGAAAAAATGTTCAAAGGCGCCATGTGTAAGATAGAAAGATCCGTAAAAGGCATCATTGTCGCGAATATCACTCAAGTGAAATTCCTTCGATTCGAGGAATTCTTCAGTAAGTTGCGGCGAAAGATGGTCCGATAGACTAGAGATCGTAGAACTACTGTCAAAAGTAATCGATTGGTCATAAAAAGCAAGATGAGGTTCCGGCAACGATAAGGCAGGAAAATCGAAAGGGAACGAAACGTTTTCATAGGAAACTCGAATGTCATTGTTGTACGAATCAAAAGTGTCCATTCCTACTCCATTCGTTGAAGCTTCGACGTGATCTACGTAAAGATCAGATTCGGAAATGTGCGTATCATCAACAAACTGAACGACATTAATGGCGGTGTCTTCGGTGGTTGAGTTAGGGGACGCTAAGGATGCTTTGGCAACATCATCAACTTGCTGCGTAGCTGGTTTAACGGAAAAGTCGAGCGTCGTGATGAGGTTCGCTCCGGCATCAAAGTTGGCTAGAGAGTTCCTTGTTCGGGAATTTAGCGATTTTCGGTTATTTTTGCCAATTTGTTTGTTTCTTTTTCTTCGGCACTTTTCATGTATGTCCTCATATACCAAATCCTTATTCCTTATATTGTTCAATTCCTTTTCAACCTCCCTGGCAATGTTTTCGTAGGCCATCTTAACTTCTACAGGTTCTGATTTCCAATGATAACCAACCAATTTTGAAACATCCGTCATTTTCAACTTGTGCTGCAGTTTCGAAAGATGATCGACAAACACTTTGCGGTAGATAAAAAAAGCATTTGGACTTTTTTGACAGATCTTCGAACGAATTCTTTTGTGTGCGATATCAAAGGCACGAATGTCCGGAGGAAAAGGGAGCGTTATTGACGGCAAGTTAGTCAGTGTCATGGGTGTAGAAGTTGGAATTAAAATTATGTAAGTTTGGAGTATGTTAAATGAGAATTTACATCTGATGCCGAAGCGATTTGCTGATTTTAAAATTTTAGGCAGGTGAGAACACGATCCACGGAATTCTGAAGTATTTATAAAAATATCCTTCGAGAAGGAGTTAAAAAATGATGCAATTCAATTGGATAAGTTTATTCTTTTATGCTATACCCAGGACGCCTTCAATCGACCAAATTTGTAAAATTCCTTATTTCAAAAAAAAGAATAAAGTAATGGGTTTATTCGTTTAGCTAAATAAGGACCACATTTCCTCAATAAACTAACATAATGGATACACCTAATAAAGTTTTCTGATATAAATTTCCAAGACCGTGATTCCCAAGTACCTGGATTTTTCACGTTTTTCGAGATGTGATACATTTCAAAAAGATTGAGCTTAACTTCTTCGTTCTCACTTCGATGAATGATAGGTTGCATCATGTATGAGTACATTCTATTTTCTGCTGTAAAGGATTAGCCACGAGGGTTAAACCACTGTTTCATCTTTATTCTGTTATAAGTGTGTAACCGTTGACTTACACATTCGTCATATGTTATAATCATTTGTTCTCTATATTTACATTAGCACGTGACTTACACGAGAAATGCCACGTATTGTTCTTTCCCCAAAATGCCAACTTATAAGACAATTTTGCACTATTGGAGGCTTGGAACCAGAAAAACTAGTAAAAACAAACATTACATGACATATTATATTATTTTTTAAGTAGAACAGACTTTCCTTTTTGATAAATAATAAACCCATCGATGAAAGTTGGGAAAGGTATCGACAAGACTTGACCGACTATTTACTGCGCCAACTTATATTGTCCTTATGTCACGAATAGAATTATTAAATTTCCGCCACTGTTGTATATTAATCGATAACTACAATACCTGTTGAAAAAAATATTAAGTTTATACAAACTTATTTTTATAGCAAATATACGTGTACCATTTAATAAATTAAAAATTTATACAAGTAATTATAAGGTAATAAAGATAATATTAAAATTGCTTTTTAATTGGATTCTTGATACAATTGATACAATTATTTTAATACAAGTAATTGAGTCACTATTAAAACATATAAAATAATTAAGTCGAGATATATTATTTTTGAGAATTTTAGAATTAAGTCAATGATAAAATAATTTATATCATATATAGTATATGAAACAAAAATAATTGGAAAAGTTAAATTTTTATAATTTTATTAATAATTTAATAATTACGTAATTAATTAATTAAGACAAAAAAAAAATATATATGTATATATTTGAAGATAAAAAGAATAAAAAATATATTTATAATTTTTGAATATAATATAAGTCAAAATAATTAAATAAAATATTGATTTTTATTTTTAGGATATTTCAATAACTGATTAATAAAATAAGATAAAAATTAAGTCAAAATAATTAAATAAAATATTGATTTTTATTTTTAGGATATTTCAATAACTGATTACTAAAATAAGATAAAAATTTATATTAATATACTTAAGAATATAAAAAACAAGTTTATTTAAAATACATTTTTGAAACAAAAAAAATCATCTTTAATATTTTTATTATAACTTTATAAAAAATTATTCAAATAATATAAAAATTTTAATACATATTCTTTAAAACTTAAAAAATAAAATTACTTAGAGATTTTTATAAATATATTATTAAAAAATTTTTTTAAATTTAAATTTAATATCTAAAAAAAATAATTAACTAAACTTTAATTATTTTTTAATATAAATTTAATATGAATAAAAATTGTAATTTTATATTAAAAAAATAATTTAATGATATTTTTATTTGTTATATAATAAAAATTTATAAATATATTTTTATAATCTAAAGAAAATTTTTATTTAAAAATTTTTATAAAATAACTTATTTTTATAATAATTTTTTAAATAATAATTCTTAAAATAATAAATAAATTTATATTTTAAAAAATATTTTTATAAAAATTTATAATATTTAAATAATCATTTATTAAATAATAAATAAAAATATTAATTAAAAAAAAAATTTTTTTTTTTTGTTTCAAACTATATAATTATTTTAATTATTTAATTATTTTATTAAATACAAAAAATTATTTCAACTAATGGATAGTTTGACCTATTTTATTTCTTGATCTTAATTTTATTGAAGATATTTGAAAATTATTAAAGAATAATATTTAAAGATGTAAAGATTTTTTATATATTACAAATGGGCTTAAAATTGCTTTGAAAAAAGATTAACTAAAATTTAATATATCAACTTTGCAAAATATTATAGTCTCAATGTTATAAAAAGTCAATACAGTATTAAATATCAATAAATATTTAATCAAATATTAATAAATGGATTAATAAAAATTTTTTGTATATAAAAAAAAATTATTTTTGTATATGTGCATAAATTTCTGATTTTTTATAAAATTGTATATCAATTTTGATATTTATTATAACTTTCAAGATTAAATAGAACATTCAGATAATCTATTCAATACTTTTTACTTGAGATCTCAAAGAAAATATTGTACTTGTCACTATTTACAACTTTAGATTTCTCTTACTATCAGTTTTTCTTTTTTTAAGCAAGTACTAAATTGAAATAGTCTTAAGTTGAGATTCTTTGTACAATAAAGTTTGTTATATCAGGAAAAATATAAACTTTTATTGAAAGTTAAATCAAAAGTTTTTTTTTATATTGTTACAGGGAAAAAGTGATGGGTAAATTATAGGAAATTGTAAGGGTAAGTATAATAGTAAGTATATTAAAT